GTGATGCACCACTTCATACTATGAGTTGGTCTCATCTGTTTCAGCTCCAGTTGCGAAGCACCACTTCATATTATGATTTAGTCTCATATGTTTCAGCTCCGGTTGTGATGCACCACTTCATTCAATTAGTTGGTCTCTAATGTTTCAGCTCCGGTTGTGATGCAATACTTCATTTGATTAGTTGGTCTCTAATGGTTAGCTCCAGTTGTGACATGCCACTTCATACTATGAGTTAGTCTCATCTGTTTCAGCTCCAGTTGCGATGCACCACTTCATATTATGATTCAGTCTCATATGTTTCAGCTCCAGTTGTGATGCACCACTTCATTTAATTAGTTGGTCTCTAATGTTTCAGCTCCAGTTGTGACACGCCACTTCATATATAGACTTGTTCTCATATTTTTCAGCTCCGGTTGTGATGCACCACTTCATTGAATTAGTTGTTCTCTAATGTTTCAGCTCCAGTTGTAATGCACCACTTCATTTGATTAGTTGGTCTCAAATGTTTCAGCTCCAGTTGTGACACGCAACTTCATATATTAACTTGTTCTCATATGTTTCAGCTCCAGTTGTAATGCAACACTTCATTTAATTAGTTGGCCTCTATTGTTTCAGCTCCAGTTGTGATGCACCACTTCATTTAATTATTTGGTCTCTAATGTTTCAGCTCCAGTTGTAATGCACCACTTCATTTGATTAGTTGGTCTCAAATGTTTCAGCTCCAGTTGTGACACGCCACTTCATATATTAACTTGTTCTCATATGTTTCAGCTCCAGTTGTGATGCAACACTTCATTTAATTAGTTGGCCTCTAATGTTTCAGCTCCAGTTGTGATGCACCACTTCATTTAAATATTTGGCCTCTAATGTTTCAGCTCCAGTTGTGATGCACCACTTCATTTAAATAGTTGGCCTCATATGTTTCAGCTCCAGTTGTGACGTGCCACTTCCTACTAGTATGAGCTTTGTTTTCTCTATGATTAATGTCAAGTTGAGACGCATCGCTTAGACGCAGCAGATTGTTTTTCCCTACAGAATAATTTTTGTCAATATTATGGTGTAATTTGGGTGCTACTATAACTCCGCAAAGTTTCTGTAGTCACAGTGACTTTGACTGAATGTAAGCATGTCCTTCTACAATTGTACGTTATACCTAGACGACCAAGGTGCCTGGACATGGGTTACACATTGCAACTGTCCGTGGTCATGTGGGCTCCATTCTGAGAAAGCCATGCTATGCTGGACTTTCTCTGTGAAGAATGTGGTCAGTAGATATAGGGGTGTATTTTGCTGGTCCGAATGTTCCGAGTAGTGGAGAAAGTATAACCTTCCGCATTCATGGTGAAGTGTAAGAATGAGTTGCGGGTGCTGTCCACACCCAATGATACCCCAGTTACCGTAGAAAGGCAGTTGTAGTGTCAGCTGAGGTCGTCTGGAAGTCTGTCTGATCTCTAGAGCACATATACTGATAGATATTAAAAAGCTCTAAGCTTCAGGTTAAAATGAAGAGATATGTTTCAGCTCCGGCTGTGATGCACCACTTCATTTAATTAGTTGGTCTCTAATGTTTCAGCTCCGGTTGTGACATGCGACTTCATGTATAGACTTCTTCACGTATGTTTCAGCTCCGGTTGTGACACGCCACTTCATGTATAGACTAGTTCTCATATGTTTCAGCTCCGGTTGTGATGCACCACTTCATTTAATTAGTTGGTCTCTAATGTTTCAGCTCCGGTTGTGACATGCCACTTCATGTATAGACTTCTTCACTTATGTTTCAGCTCCGGTTGTGATGCGCCACTTCATGTATAGACTAGTTCTCATATGTTTCAGCTCCGGTTGTGACATGCCACTTCATGTATAGACTTCTTCACATATGTTTCAGCTCCGGTTGTGACACGCCACTTCATGTATAGACTAGTTCTCATATGTTTCAGCTCCGGCTGTGACATGCCACTTCATGTATAGACTTCTTCACATATGTTTCAGCTCCGCTTGTGATGCACCACTTCATTTAATTAGTTGATCTCTAATGTTTCAGCTCCAGTTGTGATGCAATACTTCATAACACCCGTCAGGATCCGGGGTAGAATAGGTCTTCAGCAACTCTAATTGCCATAAAAGGCGACTATGCTTGTCGTAAGAGGCGATTAACAGGATGAAGTGGTCAGGCTTGCTGACATGGTTGATAATTGTCATCGATCCCAATTGCGTTGATCGATGTTCGTGGTGTCAATCACTGGGTTGTCTGGTCCAGACTTTATTATTTACAGACCGCCGTCATATAGATGGAATATTTCTGAGTGTGGCGTTTAACAACAACAACAACAACGACACAAAAAAGAAGAAGAAGAAAACCCCAAAACACTTGACTCTGTGGTGTATACCCGTCCCGGCAAGTAACTTTTGAAGAGGTTTATAATGATCTGTAAATCATTAACAAAGGATAATTGAGAAAACAAAATCACTCTAATAAGGATTGAATTGCTATGCATCCATGGGCTTATCATTCTGTACAACCTTTATATTTAAGGGGGAAATTCTCTACAACTTGCATGGTATACTCAAGAAGTCCTAGTCAAAAGGGTCTGTTGGAGAGGGGTAGAGAAAGCTCCTACGTGCTGTGTGCAGGGAGTCACAAGAAAGTGCCAGTCAGCGAACCCAGGGGAGAGTTGGGTTACATAGACTGGCGGCAAGTCTCATATAACTAGAATACTGCTGAGTGCGGCGTTAAACAACAAACAAACACATATTGATCATTAATCATCATTTGTCGCCATGCATTTGGTTTCGTCGCTAGCCCCGTCTGACGTAAGGGCCAGCGCAGAACCATTAACTGGGATGCTGAGACCACCACAATCCATGTGCAAAAAGCTTTGAAATTCCTCCAACGTATGATAGAATTATCCCGTCGCATCCGTATCATGCATTCAGGCAAGGGGTTTTTGACATTCTATGTGTACAGTGTAGTACCGTGGAATATCTGCTTTGGACTTCACTGCGTCATTATTTTGACATCTGCAAATGCTGATTAGTCAAAGTCCTGTCTCGACAGATTCCACTGTGCACAGTAATATTTTATGGTGAAGGAAATATGTCCATAATAGCAGTAAGGTACCCCAGTGTCTCAATCAATTCTTGGCACGTCACGCCGAAACGGCCGAGTTCGATTCCTTACATCTGGCTAATGTTTCGTATGAAGCCCATTCCTACAGTCCTCCGCCGCGAAGCGTATAACACCATACCCATGCATCTAGTGCACACACACAACTCAAACTTGGGGTACATAATAACAAAGACATTTGTTTGATAACAGAATAATAAACACATATAATATATCCATTGTTATTAAAAAGGTGTTTAGGGTACACCTGCATCAAGTAACCACGGCACCAGCAAATATTAACGCACTCGGGGTACTGTGACGCGCAATCAACCAAGTCACCGAGTCCGACCACCCAATCCAAGTAAGTCGCCTCTTACGACAAGCACAGGTTACTTGAGGCAACGCCTACTTCAGACTCCCCATAGGGTGACACCAATATTTAAGGCCATTGAAACATTTTTGTTTGTTTTTCAACGCCGCAATATTCCAGCTTAATGACCACGGGTCTGTAAATAATCGAGTCTGCACCAGACATTTCTGTGATTGACATCGTGAGCATCAATCAAATGGGATACGATGACATGCATCCCGTTAGTCGACTGACTACAAGCATGATTACTGAAGGCCAGTACTAAATTTACATGAATGGATCACTGGAAAACAACAGAGATAAACATGCCATTGTAAAAGTTGGGCAGGCTCGCTGACAAGGATGATGCATGTCATCGTATCCCAACTGCGTGGATCGATGCCCATGATGCCAATCACTTGATTGTCTGGTCCACACTCGATTACTAGCTCACCGGGTACGAGGGACCAAGGTGAGCTTATGCCATACCCTGTCGTCCGTACGTCTATAATTTATTCAAACAACTTCTTCTTCTGAACCACTGACTGGAAATTAGCAAAATATGACTGGAAGCATCCCTAGGTGTTGTGGATTCAAAATTGTACAAATGGTGGGGCTGACCCCCAAGGTGCTAAGGGGCAGGGCCAAATAGGAGTAATTTGGCTATATTGCTTTAAGCGACTTCATCTCTGGAACTAAGAGATAGATATCAACCATATTTGGTTGTAATGATTATCTGTGGTGAGGATTCAAAATTGTGCAAATGGAGGGGCTGAGGGGCGGGGCCAAATAGGAGTAATTTGGCATTATTACTGATTAGAAACACATTCCGACAGTCACTTTCATGATCTGGTAAGCGACGCTGTGATTGGTTGGATGAAAGGTCGTTCTGACGTGACCCTTAATGGGATGTCCTCAGATCTTTGTTGAGCCTTAGCGAGAACTAAGATCTGATTTTAATGAGATTGGTGAATTCCGTGTCACTTCTCCATGTTGTTATGTCAGCGGCTGGGGAATCCCCATGACGTCATTGGGAAAACACCCCCCTTTTCTATCTCCAACACAAATGAGTTCTCTATCAGAGTTTAAGATAGTTTCAAAAATGTATTTTATCTTAAAATTAAGATGTCTTATCTTTGAACGTAAGTTGTTAAGATTAATCGTAACTAAACTCGTTTCGAAAATCTAGATCAAGATCAGTTTCAGAACCAGCAGGGGACACTAGAAATGGGCATCACACATTGGACCCATGTCGGGAATTGAACCCGGGTCTTCGGTGTGACAAGCGACCGCTTTAACCACCAGGCTACCCGACTGCCCCTTGTCACACTCAGAAATATTCAAGCTATATGACGTAGAGTCTGGACCAGACAATACAGGGATTGACATCTTGAGCACTGATCTGTGGAATTGGGGTATACAATGACATGCATCAACCAAGTCAGCAAGCCTGACCACCCGATCCTGTTGATCGTACAACAAGCATGGGTTGCTGTAAACCAATTCTAACCCAGATTTTCACGGATCACAAACGAAGAATAAAACTTTGACTTTTCCAATATTTTACTTCTGAAGACATGACAATGACAAACTAATGATGAATATGAGATGTGTACAGGTTTGGTGTTATATTACAAGTAATCAACAAAGTAAGTCATTTCATTGTGGGAAGCATACAAATTAATCCATGCTATTTAAAAAATGCTCTCAACCGAGAATATCAGTGCCATATACATTCTCTGCAACTTTCAAATTACACAGTAAAATGCAGCAATCCCAACATTTTGAGTTCAGAAAAGCCATAACATGGAAACTTTTAAATTCAAATAAAGGCAGAGATACCACTGAATTCATTTGAGCACAAAGCAAATGGATTCTAAGACAATAAAACGTTATGAAGCAGAACATTTCTATAATTTGTGAGGCTAAAATCACATTGGCAAAAAATAATCTTTGACACCGGATGTAAGTCTTTTCCTTTGGTATAGGCTTTTAACGAAATGAGTGTTAAAAATGTTACATGTTCAATTATAAAAACAATGCATTTCATAACATTAACGTCTTTTGTCACATCTACCATTCTGTCATTCTAACAACTAGTGGGTGTGGATATTAATGTTAACCTAGATTGTGGCAAAACAGCTATACATGATCCCAGTCTTACACTTTCAAAACTTGAATCAAAATGGAAATCTGTGAAAATACATAGCAAGTGTTGCCCTACAAAATCAATAATTGAGATACAAGAATTCACAATCAAACGCATTTCTTACAAAAATCCAGTCACTTGGATTTTCATGATCTGATATGTGCCCCGAAATATGCTTCTCTCAAATTCTATGGTATTAAACAAATGGCGGAGAAGATATGTAAAACAACAATGCTCAGATTACTTGAAGAAAAAATGTTTCTCATCAGATGGTAATTTCCAAAATGACCAGATTTATAAATCCTTTCTTTCTCTGCAGCAACTACAGTTGCATAGGACAAGGAAGCATAACTCTTCCCTTAAAATGTACACAAACCAATATCGAAACCAGATTATTTTACAAAGCAAAACCCAAAATTGTTCACATTGATAGAAAATATTTGTTTAATGACCTGCAGTGAGGAGAAACATTTTTTCACATTTTATAGCCTAAAGAATCAAAAGGTTATATTATAGCGGTGCTTTACCACTATACACCAAGCCTGTTGAGACAGAAACAGAGGACCCTGTCAAGGTAAACGCTAGCTGCCACAGGAAGTAGAGTACATGCTCTTATGGAGCTTAAGAACGAGAGAATATCTCCAAATACACAGCATCTTTAACACCTATTCACTATTTCAAAATACCTGTTGGATAATGTGATGGATCAGTTTTCGAGGAAATAACTGTGAAGATCAATCAGATCGATTTGATGCAGATATGATCAGAAAAATGATGGGTTAATGATCTGTACTGATGTAGACAACAAATGATTAAGTGAAATTCAAGCAAACTTTCAGAATGACAATGCACCAACAAAAGCCAACATCTAAATGATTGTATATGGCAAACAAGTATTAATCGCACAGTTCATACAACACAGTATATATATGCAAATGATCTATGGGGGATGTATACTATTCAACATGTGAGATGGATACTGTGCTATTTCATACTATTCTGAGAGGACAGCAACTGGTTTACTTGAACTTTTATTAACTTTAGATGAAGCGAATAATGCGTCAGTTGCCTGGCAACATGAGATACTATTTGTATGACACCATCTCCAAGCAGCCAATCACACATTCAGGTCCCACTGAGTAGTATAACTTTAAATGTATACATGAATAAATGACAGAAATTCATACCAGTAATAAACTATATAGTAAACATACCGTACCAGTTATAGTACTATGAGCTAAGAACCAGCACCAAATAATTCATGTTATGAATTCCATCCTAGTGACCATATTACAATGCTGTTTACAAATCATGAAAAATACCTGTAACATTCCTAGAGGAAGTAACTTGGTCTATAGTAATCCTATTCAAGTCTATCATTGGATGGGCATTTTGCCTTCTCCTTTTGCAAGAAACATCGTGACTTATCTTTATAATAAGCTATCTTTCCAATGCCCTGGCATCCTGTGTAGATTCCAGGTTAGAATGGATCTTCAGCAACCCATGCCTGACGTAAGAGGCGACTAATGGGAGGCTTACTGACTTGTTTGATGGATGTCATTGTATCTGATTTGCGTAGATGGATGCTCATGATGACAATCACTGGATTGTCTGGTCAAGACTCAATTACTTACAGTCGCATTTAGCTGGAATATTGCCGAGTGCTGCATTAAACCACAAACAACAAAACAACCCTGGGTATCATCATATCCCTTTCTTTTGCCCTTGATTCAAATATGTTAGAAAAGGCAATGACTATGAGAGGGAGTTTGTTGTTAACGCCAGTTTGAACAGTATTTCAGTTGTATGACAGTGTGTCTGTTTAACAGGGTAGTGAGTTAGTGAGTATGGTTTTATGCCGCTTTTAGCAATATTCCAGCATTATCATGGCGGGGGACACCAGAAAAAGGCTTCACACATTGTACCCATGTCGGGAATCGAACCGAGGTCTTCGGCGTTTCGAGCGAACGCTTTAACCACTAGGCTACCCAACCGCCCCTTTAATGGGGTAGACATACCAGAGACATGCAGGTCATGGATATCAGAACTGTGGGGAAATCCATGAGCATGGGATTGCTGACTGACACGAAGAGTCAAGTTCGGGGTGAATCTGGGATTCAATCCATTGACAAACAGATCCTAGCACAAAGAAGGGACACAACCCTTCCAAGTCAACTGTAGGGGCTACACACATGCCCATTAATGAATGATCTACATGGCTTAATTCATGGGTAACTGTGTACAAATAGTAGTCTTTCACATGTAATGCTTTAATATGTATGTAATAACAGAAATTCAAGAAATGATGTATACAATAAGGATTTTCACAATATTGAATTTCACCTGTCATGATTATCTTTCAAAAACAATGGATGTACTTTGTAATGATGTGTGTCTTACAAGACCATAATCAACTGACTTATGATTTCACCATAATCCAGGGAAAAAATGTCATCTTTCTGTATCCACACGGTATATTTCAGAAGCCAGCAATGGGTCTTGATGACTGAGGACGGATCAAGATACCAAAATGTACTTGTCAGTTATTACGGTCTCCTAGACCACACCATGACAGAGCTACAGAGGTGTTCACTATATACAGGTTTGAATGATGCATGATAATGACTTGATCATACTAGGAAACAAACCCATTGCAAAAACTACCACAGCTGCATGATTCATAAACACTTACCATAATTGATGTATTTTTAATGTCATATACTAAATTCAGAACTCAAAATTACATATAGTTAATATGTAAGAAAATAGTTTCTATTCTTACATGCTGTAGACGTGTCACCCTGCAAAATATTTTCTAAGAACCTTGTTTTGGGGTATTGGCCAAATTCCCCTTCTTGGGCCTTGTTTGATTATTGGTTGTTTGACGTCGCACTCAGCAATATTCAAGCTATACGACGGCAGTCTGTAAATAATCAAGTCTGGACAAGACAATCCAGTGATTGACATCATGAGCATCGATTCACAGAACTGGGATACACTGACATGCATCATCAACCAAGTCAACGAGTCTGACCACCTGAGCCCGTTAGTCGCCTCTTCCGACAAGCATAGTCACCTTTTACGGCAAGCATAGGTTGCTGAAGACCTATTCTACCCCGGATCTTTTGGGCCTTAGATTGTGATCTTGCCTACACGCTGTAAATAGGTGTGTCACAATATTTCGAAGTTCTTATATAACAGTTTTCATATCTTACCCCATATCAACCCTAGACCCCAATACCAGCCCGAAGACCAAGGCCAGAGGGTTGATATGGGACTGAGGGTTGATATGGGGTATCATATGAAAACTGTCACGTATTAATCTTTTTATCAGATACAATAACATAACACCATAAAATGTATCTATTTGCAAGTGAATGAAAAACATTTTCACCTTGTTTGGAAGTCATTGTCATGGGAAAGGTAGCTGAGCAGGCAACACTATAAGGGACGTAACTTTAATTTCTTACCAACCGGGCTGATATCGATCGTCCATACAAATTGCATTGACAATACATATCAGCCCGGCAAAGGGTGTAATACTGGTAGGGTTATTACACCCCCTGTGGTATATGATAAATCAAACAATCGCAATTGAAAACTGCCCCAATAGTCCTACCTTTAAATTATGATATTGTTCACATTATCACAAAAATACTTGGGAATAGCTTGAGATAGTTACTGTTACTGTTTCACTGCCTTGTTAAACAATAAGGTGTAAATTTGGTTTTAAGAGCCCCACAAAAAATACACGTGTGTCAGATCCAGGCCATATTGTTATGAGTAAGCAGACCTACCACTGGCACGTATTTTAGAAAAGCAAACAAAAATGTTTTCCTCGACGGCTAGGAATGACAGGAGATGACAACAAGGAAGATCCGCTTTCATAAAACAAGTACATACCACGAAGTACTTATGAAATAATCTTTTATTTCGGACACATTGGTTTAAACACCCATGTTAGTTTTATACATCAATTATGGTAAATGCAGACCAGAGCCACTTGAACCCACACCTTTGCAGTACCACATGGCCGGTAATATTCTGATGTAATTACGATGCATACATCGGAAGCTTGCAAAGACTGGTACAAGTAAACCCTAGTGTGTGGAGCTATGTAAGCAAATCGAGCAAGAAATATTGAAACTGCCTCATAATAGTCAAACAAAAACAAACTGGTGTAGAGAAAATGTAAGAAATCTTGTTGACAGCAAAACTCGACTCAACAGAAGCACTAACCACGGACAGATCTAGTGACAACGTCAATATAAGGAGGTTAAAACTGGTGATATTTATTTGCCATCATTTATGCTTGCCATTACGAAATTCCTTCAAATTTCCCGAGGTGTAACGATACGGCGGGGTAGCAATAGGATACATATCCCATACTGTGGGAGCGATATGATACGTATCCCAATACAGTTCTTTTATTTCACAAGTTGACATTCTTCATTTTGCAGGGGAATCACAACCCTGAATAATTTGTTATTAAATTTGAGAGATTAAAGATGGGATATTGTAGGGCAGAAACATATAGGTTAGAGGGCACTGTGAATGTTATGCTATTTATGTCAAACCAAAACCTAATAGAGAATCTGTGAAAGCTGGATATGAACAGTATCTGTTACTCTTCCGATGATTAACACAAATATAACTTGTAATGAAATGTATCGTACGTACCACGATACAGTGGTTGTAAATCGATGTTTTGTAACGTAGGGCTCGTATCGCAATACAATACTGTATGGTTACACCACCTCAAAAGTCCGCAACTTCAACTCCATCCACGGTATAAAATTGTTTCACCTGAAACATCGTAACAGTCTTGAAAGTAAAACAGCTGACTTATAGCACTATCAAATTGAATTGATGCATCATAAAATCCTAAGACGAGCTAAAGAAAACCCCAAAGCAAATGTTACTTTTCCCTGCTTCGCCTTAGCCAGGTGAGAACTGAACACCCTTATCTTATGATTCAATGATGTGTAAGCACTTATTCACAGTGATCTTCCTCATGATGGCAAATATATATCACCAGGTAACTGTACATGAAATATACAACTATGTAACATGCCATGCATGTTACATGAACCGAAGAACATGATACAAAAATAACAATTGTTATGACAAGATGTAATGACCCACAAGGATGACATGTCGTGATATAAATGCTCACACAATGTTACCATGGTTACATGGCGTAACTGGAGAGAAGACTACTGCAAGCTGACCAAGTCCTTCTTGAAAATGCAACATGTAGAACATATAACTGATTTTGATTTTACAACGTCAACACCAGAAAGCCAGACACAAAAAGCCCCATTAAACGACCTATCAGAAATGTTGAAGACTTTGACACAAGCCTTCATACAGAGAATTGGAGATTTGAGAAAAAATAATATTTTGGTGGAATGAATTAATATATGTTCAACCATTAAACAGTCATATATTCAAGTCCTCTTTTGCTGACATTGAAATAATCCTAAATAAATTTTTAAACTCCCTTTAAGTAAACAATTTCTGAAGATAATACTGCACACGCTGGCGAAAGCAAGTCATTGCTTAAGTACCTCACACAGGAGGAAATAGTCTTTGGCTGTCATCTATAGGCTAAGGTAAATCAATACCCTTATCGTTTAACCATGTCAGACAATTTCTTACTGATCTGAAATAAAATTAAGACTAAAAATCACCTCATGACAAATCATGAACTCAGCCATGGCTGCCTTTGGGTATCTGGGAGCAGCTATGGCAAAATACATAACTGACACTCCACATGACCAGCCATTGATATACAATATCTGATATCCACTGTTACACAACCAAACTGTTATACAACAAAAAGGAAAACCGTAAAAAAAGGAAGAATCTCCAGTAAATTACAATTAAGATACACGAAACATTTGATAAAAAATGTGTATCCTGTTCAACACAGTGATGTTAGCTCTAAGGATGTCTCAACACTTGATTTCAATGAAGTGTTGAGAAAGACCTAGTGATAGATCACATTATAGAACAGAGCCCAACGCTATAGATAATGGTTCAGTTTCATATTGATTATAGCCATAAGGAACCAGATAAGGATATGAGCCCGTATTTGTCTATTACTTATTCCTAGTAGGTCTTGAGTAGGCACTTGAGTAGGCAGGGATGCAGCTTAGCTTGAAACACAAATAGCCGGTAAAGTGATAACTTAAGACCCCCCTGAAAAGCATTTGACAAACTGATTTGGGCTAGCGCGTAGTGGCATATTGCATCCCTGGTTGGGTAGCAACTTAGGCTAATCTGACATTATGTCTCGCTGCAAGTAATATTGCACTCCAAAAAACGCCATTTTCGTGTGATCTTCTCCAGTAGTCTTCCCTCACTTCTCTATACACTTGAAAGTGATCTACACAGTATGTACATGTGGTTGCAGATGGCTGTGACATCACTCCCCTTCCTCCCCTGCCTCCACCTCGTCGTCATTCACGTTCTCATCATCGTCCTCAGCATCTATCACTTCAACATCAGCTGAAATGAGAAATAATACATAAGGCCAAAACAAATTAATAATTTGTCCTCACGTAACTTCAATAGCATCACAATTGTCCCAGAGCTCCAGATAAGCTGCGTATCTGCGTAAAACACACATCAGAAATGCAGAAATACGCAGTAAAATAAAATCCAAGTGTATCAAATACGCAACAAACATTACAGATAAGCTACAAAAATAAAACTTGTGCGTATCATCAAAATACTGTGAAGTAACCCTGCGTATTCGATTAGCAAATCAGTAACTTATTTTGAAATTATAAACGGGCATTCCGCCAACCTTGCCAAACTCCACGATGATAGTTACATCACGATCATTAAAAGTTTTGCCATCACACTTTTTTGTGGAAGTATCGTGGTATTTTTGAGTCCTATAAAGTTCTCGAACCCACACGACACCAGTTTGCAAGGACTAGATGAATAGTGCTTTTAAATATTTAACTTAAATACCCACATGTGTAAAAACTAGTTGATAACAGAAATTTGAATACACAGACAGAATTACTGATACCCAATGATTTTAAAATGCATGGGTAAAATACCCACAACACCAAAAGCTTATCTGGAGCTCTGTTGTCCAGTTTCACTTCAGATGGAATTCTTTTCTTTGATGACAACCATACAACTACAGTAACCTATGTTTATAACGAACACACCAACGGATATAACAAACTTATGTTTTGGTCCCGGCCATTTGCTGTACTTATGCTTTACATAACAAACCACGGTTATAATGAACTAACATTGGTGGTCCTTTTGAGTTCATTATAACCATATTTTACTGTTCTCAAAACGTCAAAGTAACTTACCTGAATCATCTAATGTGTCGCCTTCTTCAATGTCACCATCTTCTACTGAATACACTTCATCATCTTCATCATCTGGAACATCAACAATTTTTTTTATTTTTTTTAAATCAGGAGTGAATTATTATTGAGACCGTTCTCACGTTGTGAAGCTTTTTTGATATTTACTTCCAGGTCTGTCAATAGATTTAGACTTAAGAAGCAATCTCATTAAAATCAGATCTTTCACTGACATACTACCTCTCTTCAGATCTCAACCCCTCCAAGGGGTTGTACTTACAAAGTTAAATGCAAGAGATGAACTATAGGAAACTTATTGCATGGATAGGGTATACTTACCATCATCTTCATCATCAACAACATACACAGACTCGTCAGGATCTTCATCATCACTGAAATCAAGTACATACAATTTCAAATAGACATATATACCAGCATTAGACATTGGCACTAGTCCTGTAGTCAAACTGCCCAATAGTTAAGGTATCCTTAGGACTAGTAGAAATTTGTCATTTTTAAAGGTTCTGCTGTATGTTACCATTATAAGGACTAGTGGTCTAAAAATGTTAGTATCTACCACTAATTCTCCTTTTAACATCACAAATGTCTATTATTTGTATATGAAACCTAATGGTTGGTTGGTTGGTTTGTTGTTTATCGCCGCACTCAGCAATATTCCAGCCATATGACGGTGGTCTGTAAATAATCAGGTCTAGACCAGACAATCCAGTGATTGATATCATGAGCATCGATCCTCGCAATGTGGGATTGATGACATGCATCAACCGAGTCAGCGAGCCTGACCACCCGATCCCTTTAGTCGCCTTTTACGACAAGCATAGTCTCCTTTTATGGCAAGCATGGGTTGCTGAAGACCTACTCTACCCCGGATCTTCACGGATCTGAAACCTAATGGAAGCCTGTGTGTGTACTGATTATCTACAAACAGTTTTCAACACTGTGTTTTCTTGTGCAGAATATGATGACAAGTAAGGCTGGGATGGGCAACTTGGGTACCCGGGTCGGGTGGGTACTGAGTAGGACCTGGGTACCCACAGGACTACCCGGAGCCGAGGTTAGTCACGTGATAGATTGTTTAATGGCAAAACTTATCTAGAACTCTATGGTTACACTACAAGTCACTAATGTTCACATTTCTTTCTGACTATGCACGCATTCCTTCTGACTTTCATGTTTGAGTAAAGATAAAACTTCAGTCAACATAAGTGTATGCATCACCAGATCGTTTTATATGTGTATCTAAATACATTTTGCCAGGGCAACAGTCAAACAATTCCCAATCGGACAATTTGTACCCATCTCTTGAGAGCTATAGGGGTACCCGGGTAGGGTTGGGTAATAGGGGGATGGGTACCTGGGGAGTAAATTTGGACTCACCCAGCCCAAATGACAAGACCTGCATTGTGATCCTAACGAATATGAATGTGTACCCTCCATTACCTAGGTCTAACTTATTGTACCTCCCGTGTTCACAAATAACGGCAGTACTCGGGTCTTGGAGGTTAGCAACTATAGTATTTACTTTAACCCTCCATTTGTTTAACTTTGAGGTTACCTCGAGGAACCCCTGACTTTCATGATTAATTTCCAAACAATGTATCTCCATTCAATGATAAACACTTTGGGACCATTTGCCACAATAGTCCTGTTGAAGCAGAACTCCATCAAATTAATCTCATCAGTAAGTGGGTGAGTATGGTTTTACACTGCTTTTAGGTCATCATAGGTTTCTGGCGTGCCCAAGGGACGCATCTCTGCACAGCGAATAGCAGCGCCTTTGACGACTGGGCAACCTTTGCCCCCCGTCACCTGTGACATGCACATGACATGTGTGTATTACCTGTGAACATTCACTTTTCACCTCCTACACATGTGTGTCTACCTAGGCAAATCAGTGTTGTGAGTCAACAACCGATTCTTGGGACATTATCCCAAGATTGGGCACATCCATCAAGCTGATTAGCTCATTGTAAAAGGGCTTCCAGTGGAACAGAAAGACAGACAACGAACCTGATGCCATTTTCTTCAACCTCTATGTCTGGTGCCAAGTAATACTGGAGGGGGTTTGGCCACATGTCATCTTTAATCACCTGAAATGTTACAACAAAATATTATGTTGAAGCCAAAAAATGTGTCTGAGTTACAAAAACTACAACAATTTACTACAGTCACAACTCAAAGTGTGTCACATTGTGTATCCCATCTTCCTGAGGCAAAGGAGTTAACTGACGTTAAAAATCCAGTTTCCACCCTTGCCGAACTAGTCTGGAATTATGGAGTTATATTTTGGCTTGACTTAAAGGTCTACGCATAGTCCAATGAATCCCTTAACGAAACTGAAATCTGGTTCATAAACAACATGGCAACTGCCTTGCCAAATTTGTTTGATTACACGATTTGCAGAGTATATGTACTGTCAACTGGGCGTCGACAGATTATTTTCCAAATGTTTTAATCAAAGTGCTCAAGTTATTTAATGAACCTCGCAAGGTTTTATTACAGTCAAGTTCTTTATGATCGATGAAATCATCGTGACTGGACACCGCCATTTTGTTTGAAGCAAGTGCAAGAGATATGAAAACTGGAACCTGATTGTGAGTAGAGGGGACATAACTCGTAATAACCACTGGTAACGCTACAATCAAGCCTAGAATTCCAGCTTAGTTAGGCAAGGGTGGTAACTGAACTTTTAAAGTCAGCTAACCCCCCTGCCTTGGGAAGATGTGTGTATCACTACAGGGCCAGAGTCGCAGATTGGTTCATCTTCTTGGAGTGAGTGTCATACATGAGTGTCATATGTCCTGAATATATTTTTTCACTTTTGGTACAGACAGAGAGGAATGTCCTAACAAATGCTGATAATATCATGAAAGTGTCACAATGCCATTTGTCTTCAGCAAAATAAGAGAGGGTAAATGATGAGAAGGATTATGTTAATGATGACGTCAGGTATAGTGCATCTTCCTGAGGCAAGAGAGTTAACTGACTTTATAAGTCCAGTTTCCACCTTTGCCGGACTAGCTCGATCGTAGCGTAAGCAATGGCTATTACGAGTTATATCCCATCCATGCCTCTCCTATAGAACAATCAGATTCCACCTCTTGTATCACTTGCATTTGCTTCCAACAAAATGGCGGCGCCCAGTCAAGATGATCTGATCGATAATCAAGATCTTTATAGTAATAAAGCGGGTCTTACACCGCGAAGTACATCAAATCACGTGAGCACCTTGATTAAAGACATGAAAAGATTTGGAAAATATCTGTTTAAAAAGAGTTGATGGTGCACATGCTTTGCAAATCCTGCAATCGACCGAAATCTGCATGACAGTTTATGAACCAGATTTTGATTTCATTGCGGGATTTTGATCGGACTATGCATAGACTTGTTAGTCCAGCCAAAATCTAACTCCATAATACCAGCCTAGTTTGGCAAGGGTTGAAACTGGACTTTTTATAGTCAGTTAACTCCCTTGCCTCGGGAAGATGGCAACAGTGAGTGAGTCTCTTCATCAAGACTATCAGTATGAAGGAAAACATCTACCCGACACACACAAATATTGTTCTTGATTCTCAGGCCTTCATGCATCAGCAAAGTTTTCATCTATAAAAAACTAGACAGCCTGGATCAACAAAGCAAATGCTTTGTCTTGAAGCATAAGCCTTACACCGAATAATTCCTTTCCTGCCCCTGCTTGTGATAAGTTAGCAGCAGCTGCTACAAGTGGCAGTATTCAAGTGACCTACCTCTGCAATGTCATCCGCTGAGGGGTCGGTGTTGTCAAGGAACCAGGAGAAGAAGTTTCTTGCCATGCCCAGCTTCCTCTTGCGACCATTCTGTTCGGCCTGCTGGAGTTTCTTCGTCAAATCCATCCCTTCCTTCCACTCGATATTTGTGGATTTGGATGCAGGATCACCTGAGCAACACAAACGTGATAAAATCAATATTAACATGATAAACAATTAAGGGACAAATGTTTCTATAAATGGGTAATAAAATGTCCTGACTATAGGAGAGTCAGCATGAAGTTCATGAAAGTACTAACAAGAAGGGTTTGAACTCATCAGTCACATCATAACAGCTTTAGGGAAACATGAATAAGTGAGTGAGTGAGTGAGTATGGTTTTACGCCGCTTTAAGCAATATTCCAGCAATATCACGGCGGGGGACACCAGAAATGGGCTTCACACATTGTACCCATGTCGGGAATCGAACCCGGGTCTTCGGCGTGACGAGCAAACGCTTTAACCACTAGGCTACCCGACCGCCCCTTAGGGAAACATGACTTGACAAAGCAGTAACAGTTTGAGCAATGACAAAGTCAGGCATTGGTACCACCAGATATCTATCAGTCTCTTCGACTGGGGACGTCTACATGCATATACATGATCTAGGTTATGCAAGTGAACGTTGTTCTACGCCACAGTAAGAAGCATTTCAGCAACATTACTGTTGCACGTAAATAATCACATCTGGACAAAACAAACCAGTCATTGAAGACATGAGCACTGATCGAAGTCACGGATCAAATTCATAAACCACTTACACCTAGCAATGCTGGGTACAGATTGTAACGTTGGTCTTGATGGGGATCTTGATCATGATACTGGCTGTGCATACAATAACACACTGATCCATCAGCCATAAATTCTCACCTGAAGTCGCCAGATGAAATTCTTTGCACAGCACATCATTTGTAAAGTATGGATTCTGTGAGAAACTGAACTTGATCTTGTACCCAGATTTGATGTCCTCAAACTCTTCTACTTCAACCTTAAAATAAATACACAACCATGATATTTGCACAAGGAGTCCTTACTATTAGCATTAAAATGATTAAGAGAATCAACAGAAGAAAACACCAGTTATTCATGCCTAATGACAGGCATCCCAAAAGCTACTTTCAATTTGCAATTAATAGTCTGAACTTGGTGCAACATCTGTATCAAAATCATTATTGCCTATCATTCTACAAACACAACAAAATAGTCTGGATGATGTTTACATAACATTACCCAATTGTTTCATTTTATTTGGTCAATTTACTTGTGTTGGTAACTGACCTATAACTGATAACGGTAATCAAAATGAACTGACAGACTGCTGACAAGCTCTCCAAAGTTCATGATCATGTTTAAAGTATGTTTTAAGTATGTTTCCATTGTAAGCTCTGTATGTAAATTTTCATAGTGAATGAGTTAGTTGGGTTTTACGCGAACTTGAACAGTATTCCAGTTATATCATGGTATATCAGCTTGATGTGGGAGATAAGCCCGAAGTGATGCAGGTCTTAGCCGTTTACCACCTCGATGAAACCCAAAAGGATAGGTATTGTGCTGACAAACCTAGGAACAATCATTGTGAACCAGGATTTGAACCCAATCATAGGTTTCTTGTGTGCCAAAGGGATGCAACTCTGGACAGCAAATTGCAACGCCATAGACGACTTGGCCACCAGTGCCCCCCCTCACATTTTCATAAATAAATAGAGAATGTTTCGTTACCATGATATTTAAGACTTGTACTAATCAGTATAGAAGACAGAAGATATACTGATCTGTGTAAGAGTGACAACATGCATACATATATTAAGAGTGACAGCATACAAATGATCACACGATTGACTGGTGCAGAGTCTCGGATCAGTTAAATTTCTGTGACACATATATTCCAAAATGACCATTGAACATTTTTTTCAAGTTAGGCAATAATATAGAAGAGTGTGTTGTCAAAAGTTGAAAAGACAAAAATCATGTAACAGTCCTAATGCCATTTGTCTCTTGCAAAATCAATGCAATTTAGTGAATCTACCAAATACCCATACTGACAGTGATGAATGAATCAACATACCATTTTCAGATAGTGTAGGCATTCTTCCTCCTCCTGATCAAGGACGGCTGAGATTTGTGGGTGATTCACAAACTTCTCATTAAGGAAAGAAATCAATCAAGACAAGTCATAACTTAAGAAAACATACAGACAACAACTTCTGGGCCCACTTGCACAAAGCGATCTTAGCACTACGACTATTGTAAGCCTATGTTAAAGTATGGGAGTTACGATCATCTTAGCGCTAAGATCGCTTTGTGCAAGTGGGCCCTGGTCTATTGCATATCATGGTTAGAAACTAACAGTTTCAGTCCACTAGTCCTTATAATGATAACATATAACAAAACCCTTAAAATGGACCAATTTCTACTAGTCCTTGTGATACCTAACTATTGGGCAGTTTGGTAAGGACTATAGGCATGATAGGACTAGTGCCAAGTTCTAACGCTGCATATAAAGGACATTTTGATGTAGATTCTTATACCAAGCTGGAGTGACAACCAAGTGATGAGAGGTATATATGCATGACATGTTGTGATAAGCAACAGATTAACATTGACAACAAGTAACAAGTAGCCTAGAGTTCAGAGGATGAAGCCAAATGTACAGTAAGAAAAGCAAATAGCACACGGGTAATGAAGCATACGCGTAATGAAGTCTGATGTACAGGAAGGACAAGGATTAAAAGGTTGTGACAAGCTGATTGGATCCTAATTAAAATAGTCAATTGCTTGATTAGATCTTCATACACAGACGAAAGGTAATTCTGACTGTGGAGACTCGTACATTGGTGAAACCTCCCACGCAGTAGATACCCGCATCAAAGAACACAAGACTTCAACAGCCAACGCAGACAGCAAAAATCAGCCCTCTCAGACCACCAGCAAATATTCCCTTGCCATCAAATTCAGTTTGACAAAGTCCAGATCCTCTCAACGAAACATAAGGACTTCACCAAAAGTCAACTCAGAATCTATAGAAATCCATTTTCCTTAGGCAAGAGAGTTAACTGACTTTAAGAGTCCAGTTTCCACCCTTGCCGAACAAGGGTGGAATTCCTTGGCTCGATCGTAGCGCCACCAGTGGCTAATACGAGTTATATCCCTTCTAAGCCTCTCCTATGGACCAGTCAGATTCCACCTCTTGTATCACTTGCATTTTTTCAAACAAAATGGTCAAGATGATCTGATCGATAATCAAGATCTATATTGCAATGAAACGGGTCTCACATCGCGAAGTGTATCAAATCACCTTGATTAAAAACATGAACAGATCTGGAAAATATCTGTTGACAATGAGTTGGCGGTGCACGTGCTTTGCAAATTCTGCAATCGACATTTTACGAAAACTGGATTTTGATATCGCCGTGCGATTTTGATTGGACTATGCATAGACTCATTAGTCCAGCTAAAACGTAACTCCATAACACCAGCCTAATTCGGTAAGGGTGGAAACTGGACTTTTGTAGCCAGTTAACTTTCTTGCCTCGGGAAGATGATAGAAATCCGCCTCCACAAACCCTTGACCAACAGAGATCAAGGGTATTACATCTCGTCTGCCTATATGATATCTAATCAAGCAATAGACTATCTAAATCAGGATCCAATCACCTTGTCACAACTGTTAATCCTTTTAATCCTTATCCTTACTGTACATCTGGCATTACCAGAGTGCTTCATTACCTGTGTGCTATTTGTTATTCTTATAGTGAACATTTGGCTTCATCCAGTTATCTGTATGCTACTTGTTATCTGTTACCTGTTGTTGTCAATGTTAATCTGCTGCTTATCACAACATGTACCTCCAGCTTGATAACGGTGTAAGAATCTACATCAAAACACTGCTATGTTCAATAAACCAGGACCAACTTCTAGAATACCAATCAAACAGTCAGTAATAACTTACAACTTAATAATAACATCAGTAACAAGCTCAGGTAATCATGGTAATAATAGCTGGTATTTTAACACAAAAATAACCTGAAAACGATACCAAAAGACAAGTTTGGGCTAGGAGACAAAAATGTTTAGGGCACATTTCTTAGCACGTCTTTAGAGAATAACTTAGATGCTACCAGTTACGAATTCTCTGTCAAAAGATGAATTAATTTTGTAGTGAGTATGGTTTTACGCTGCTTTTAGCAATATTCCAGCAACATCACGGCGGGGAACACCAGAAATGGACTTCACACATTGTACCCATGTCGGGAATCGAACCTGGGTTTTCGGCGTGACGAGCAAACGCTTTAACCACTGGGCTACCCAACCGCCCCAATTAATTTTGTAAGTCCTGAGAAATGGCCAGGGACTTTCAACATTATTTCAGAAGGAACAGACAATCAGTTACTCCTGGTTGTAGTGTTGGGAATTGGTTGTAAAATCATCCAAATTGTCTGGTTGGCACCATGTTTCTGTTTTTCAATGTTTTGTTCAGTAAAACTTGATCAAAACCAACAAAAAACAATTCTTACACTTTGTTTCAGAAAAGACACCGGCTACTCATTCTTATTCCAAGTAATTAGTAGTAAACAAACCTTGTCAGGGAACAAAAGTATCACATGCTTGAGAGAAGGGGCAAAATTGTTTGTGTTCAATCCTAGAAACTTGGGTGGTTTACTATCAATCTTTTGATATTTTCAGATAATCACATTTGGTTTGGTTTGTTGTTTTATGTCGCACTCAGCAATATTCCAGCTATATGACAGTGATATCATGAACATCAGTCCACGCAATTGGGATCGATGACATGCATCAACCAAGTCAGCGAGCCTGACCACACGATCCCGTTAGTCGCCTTTCACGACAAACATAGCCGCCTTTTACAGCAAGCAAGGATTGCTGAAGACCTATTCTACCCAGGATCTTCACAGGCCACGACTACAAAGTCTATAACTAACACTGTGAAATTCTCTTAAATTATTAAAAAGATCCCATTTTCACTGTCTGAATAGAAGCTAAAATGAGGTCAGATAAAGTGGGATCATGTACTTGTCCAATTATCATGCTTTGACTTCTACTGTTACTCATGTGTAACACAACATCCTGTCAGTGTGTGATAAAGTACTTGTTTCATGCCAGTCCTGTTAGAATACACATACTCCGCCTTAACATAACACGCAACTAAGTTAAAACTGCTGTTAAAATATATATGTTGTATTATATAGTGTTGAAACTAAACAGTATTTCACTTGTCAGTGTTCCCGTTTACCGGTAATTGCCAGTTTTTTACCGGTAAAATTAGGCTTGGACCGGTAATTCATGTGACTGCCGACAAATAAAGAACTTATAAGTCTTTGTTATTTAAAAAAAAAAATGAAAAAAAAAATGGTGATATTCATATATTCAGAAATAAGAACATTTTTCGAACAAAGTCAGCATGTCTGTTACCATCAGGGTTTCCCCTTGTCTATTTCTAGGTTAAATATCCAGTTGTAGCGACTTTGTCTCAAAATATTAAAATATGAAGAGAAAGTTGTGACTGAGTTTGTGTGAATGACGTATAGGGCTAACGAAGTTACTTCAGAAATGACATCTTTGCACTGAACATGAAGTTGAAAGAACTAAAACCAGACAAGAATCTTCTGATTAGTAAATTTGGAGCAAACAACTCAGAACTATTTATAAAACAAAGTAATGACAGTGTTACAGATTTTATTTTAAATGAAGGGAAGAAAATTGATTGAGATGTTACTCATAAGCCAAAGTCATTTTGCCTCAGCCAAAGTCTATTTTATTGTTAAATCATTGTTTCTATACTCAGCCATTACACAAAATAACGTAGCATTTCATATGGCAGCTTGGGTGTTATATACTTGCCACAGAGCTGAGAATGAAATAAGCGTATAGGCAAAATATTTAATTGCAATATATTGCGATATAGGCATCTGTATTGCGATACATATTACAATATAGTGGGAGCTAAAGTGTTGGACAGTGATTGCCACTGATTGCACATGCAGATGATATTTTCTACATACTAAGGTAAATATTACAATGTCAAAGTCAGCATGATCAGCCACCGCCTTTTTGCAGACATGGATACAGACAGGGTAGATAACGTGCGAGAAAAGTCATGCTACCTCTTCAGTAAAATCAAAAGGACAGGAATGTCGCTGTGACATCAAGTGCCATATTTTGGGCATGTTGGTCCATATTTTAGTTCTATTAGCAATGTACAGGATTTGACCCAAATACATTTCCATGCAAGCAATAAAGCACTATTTTGACCCCAATTTTGATGTTTTATTTTGAGGGTTGGATCTCCTATATGTGTCATTTGAAGTGTGATATTCATTTGAAGTGTGACATTACTTATTTTTTTCAAAGATTTTTATTCACTTCGAAGTGTGATATTTAATTTCAAGGGATAAATATGAATGTTGTATAATGACCCATTTATAATAGAAATATCCATTTCGGTAAGTTTGGCACATAGACAGTATACAAATTGCTCAAATTTGGGCTCATCAATGTCCAAACCTTGATGATTTTGTCGAACAGCACTTTGATTTCAGGGAGGATTGTGTTTATGGAAACAAAAATAATCATTAAGGATGACCACTTCAAGTACTAAACTGATCCCGCAACACAAAAGAAACTGTTATGTTCACTGGTAGAATAGAAGTCAAACATAAACATGATAAACATGTTGTACAGTAGCTTGCAAATATAACAATTCGAATATTCCTTTTGAAAAACTTTAAAGGCACCAAAATGTTATCTTAAAATGCACCGTGATCAACAACAAACAATAGTCACAACAAAGGACACAATAGTTGTCTCCCCTGACAGGAAACTGGGAACCAAGCTCATGCTTGTAAAAACTAAACTTTCCAGAATTCAGTTACGATCAGAGACATTAATAACATCCAACCTTTAAGAAAAGATCAGTTGTACAATTGGCTGGGAATTTTCTACAAACAAACCATCCTTGTCCACCTCGCTACTGTCCCCACGATTTTTCCCTACCGCGAAAATAGGAGACACTAAAAGTTTTGTGTAATCTTCAAAGTTGACCCTTTACGCTTTCACAACAAAAGGATACAGCAGTCACCCAGAAATTTGGGATTTTCTCAATTAATCCATTTCGTCGATCAAAGTGTGGTTTTCTTAATTTGTTGTACTTTTGTTCCACCTGCAAAATTTCCTCGCTTGCTTTTTCATTTAGCGCATCAATTTCATTCTGACACGAGTCGATGTCTTCCAGTGTCTTTTGCATCTGTGATTCTGCATCTAAATCGCCGCTATCAGCTCCATTCGCCTCACCTTCCGGCGTAGAAAGCTTCTGAACTTTCGTCGCTGTCGCTGATTCTGTTGACATTTCTAGTGCACTCAGATGATCAATGTACACAAGCGTGAATGCAAAACTGCACGTTTGAAAAGTCTGCGATGGTTTAATAGAGTCAGTGCGCATGCGTGGCAAAATTCCCTAACTAGCTGAAAAAAGGCCAGATTTCATTGGCTAGATTCCGCAATTTTCATGACGTAATGAAAATGTCAGCAAATGAAAATGCTTCTCACAGAAATTTACGGCTGCCTGAAACTCGAGGTCGAAAGAAGAAACAAAATGGCGGAGGAAGAATCGTCAGAAACACGGCCTGATGACAGTAAGGACAATATTTTCGAAATATTACAAAAGGAAGCAAAATTATCTGCAGAAAATGTCGTAGGAGGGGATACCAAATACAATGCTGGCGTTGACATGCACCACGCTCTCTCGGATTTAAAGAGAGATCATCATGCCATTCATGGATTTAGGAATTTGCCAGGTTTGCAATGCCCACCTGTTCAGACGAACACTGCAAAAGAAGAATTGGATAATTCAGAGGTAAATTCCTCTCCCGAAACAAAGAGACTAAAACTGTCAATGCCTTCGGCACCCCAAGGAGTATCTGATTCATGTGTCAGTCCAGAATCGGGAAAGAGAAGGCGCATTCAGCACGATTATCGACGCCTATCAAGCTCAGGTTATGTTGATGATTATGAAGCAGGTAAAGATCAACGTTTCGCGGTTGGGAACGAAACAGAGTTGGTCCCGGGGACAACTGCAACATCCCCAAGATCTAAAAGCAACACATCTTCACCGAAGACAAGATCCCCAATATCGTTTGGCACTGTAAAGTTTCCTAACTCTGCTGCACAGGATACTGGAGTAAAAATGAATGTTCAGAATAATTCTGAGGTGGATGGCTGTAGAGGTAAGACAATTTTATTGTTATCCGATGTTATGTATAAAATGGAATGTTCTAAGCTGACGTTTATAATATTTGGCATAATTATTCACTTGTGATTCACGACAGTTTATGACAAATAAAGAGGTTTAAATGAGTAGCAGAGAGTGAGAAATGGTGGCCAACACAGCTATGTATCCAACATGAATTTATTACATGACTACACATCTGTATACAATTATTCTTGAGACAAATGCTGATTTTTACACCTGCCTATACCACTGTTCACAAGTACACAGACATTGGTAAAGTGCATTTTGAAAGATGGAAAATATATTTTGCTCCAATTCCCAGACCATGTATATTTTAAGGGGTTATAACTAAAACGGCACTTCAGCAAAACGTCACCGATTGGCAAAAACGTCACCTCGCCTCAAGCGAAGGCTACTAGTGTCTGGCGAAAACGGCACCTTATATTTTTTTTTACCTTGGTAAAATAAATGAAATTTAACTTACATGGTAATTTGCAAACGCCAATAATTGTGAAATGTTGAAACAAGTTTCGTTAGAAATTAGCCTCGACCCCAACAATATTTAACTTCGCCTGTACACTACTCAACTTATGGTGAAAACATTACATGTTTTGAAGTATGAAATAAAAAGCTCTCATACAAACACAAATAACAGGAAATACCATGTGAATACATCAAATTCATTAAATAACACGTAAATACATCAAATACATCCAATAACATGTAAATAAATCAAATACATTCAATAACATGTAAATACATCAAATAACATGTAAATAGACCATAATTACTACTACATGATCGTTCTTATCGTTGTTAAAAATAGAGGTGCCAAATGTGATGCCGTTTTCGCCCAAGAAATTGGTGATGTTTTGCTGAGGTGCCGTTTTAGCCTGCACCCTATTTTAAGTACACTGAAATAGTTCAAAATGAAAAGATGTTTTGTAGAAGAAATAAAGGAGAAAACATTAAGTTTTCCTTGCCTCGCCCACCATGGCTACTACAATGTTACTATGTGTTATGTTTAAATATGGAAATGAGATTAATCTTGTCCATTTTGACCCATTTTCTGGCAAACAACTCTTTAGGAATATATTTCCTTTCCGTAACACTAAAAGAGAGTATTTAAAAGTATTGTCACAGCTTGATTTAGCAATATCAAACATACACCAGTGCAACCTATTACTAAAAAATGCAACCAAATATTTTTGTCTACGTGCAGCGAGTGCATCATCAGCATGTAAAGAAAAATTTCAATTTCACACAACAACAATCACACAATACAACTAGGCTTTATTTACCATATCACTAATTGCTTTCTTGTGTGTAATTCATGACTTATGCTCTGAGATTTTACTTATTTAGTCCAGTTTATGCATGTGTGTTTCAAGTTTGATAAATTTATGGGTACAGGGTGCAGCCTGGTTATCTCTGGTTACTGCAGAACCCCACCGTGGTCTAGTGGTAGAGCTCCCGCCTCAGAGCAGAAGGTCCAGGGTTTGATCCCCGGCCGCGTCACACCAAAAGACGTTAAATGATGGTACTTGTTGTTACCCTGTCTGGCGCTTGGCATTAAGGGGCTAAAACACGGAGTCAGTATACTGTGTCTGAGTGGGGTATTCATGTTAAATTGCGGCATGGTATCTCAGTGATCTAGCACTATAAATCGGCATCAGTCCTAACTAGTACAAGCAGCCACACAAACACACACACGTACATACACGTCGCTATATAACTGCAATAATCTTGGACGCGACGTTAAACCCCATTTCACCTCACCTCTGGTTACTGCAAGTAGCTTTTCATATGAACATGATGAACATTGCACCTGGTGCAAGTTAAATCAAGTTCCTTAAATCAAGCCCTGAATATGACATGATATGGAGATTTATCATTCCTGTCTGTTGTCAGAATAATGTATTGAAAGTTCACTTCTTTCCTAGTTTTGATAATACCAGTAATTTAAGTAGTTTCAGTCAGAGCGACAAGCACATAATCATGATAATAAAAGCCTGATCTATCTTTAATATTGATATTGCAAACACATAACATCATAAATATGTAATACTTATAAACCACACTAAGCAAATGAAAAGACGTTAATGATCAATCCTTAACCATGTTAACTGGTGAATCTGGTTAAAGGTTGTGTTAAACTAACCCAGTGATCATGGTGATGGAGATATATTTATTAAATGAGAGGTAAAATGGCATGAAATGGTCAGTGTTCCCATTTACCGGTAATTACCAGTTTTTTACTGGTAAAATTAGGCTTGAACCGGTAATTCATGTGACTGCCAGTCCCTGTGGACCGGCAAATAAAGTACCTTATACATCCTTGTTGTTGAACAAAACATTGGTGATATTCGGATATGTATATTTTTCGAACAAAGTCAGCATGTCTGTTACCATCAGGATTTCCTGTTGTCTATTTTTTGTGCAAGGAAATTACATTTCGCTTTGCTTTGAGGTTAAATATATATTTGTAGTGACTTAGTCTCGAAATATGACAGCTGAAATTTGTGACTGAACTTTGTGTGAATGATGTGTAGATCTAACTAAGTTAAACTAGGTACTTCAGAGATGACTTCATTGCATTTATTTGTTGAAAGTTGGGACTTACAAAAATTAGAGGGGACTGGTAATTTTTAGAGTTGCCAGTCCACTAGGGCTGTCAGTTTCAAAACCCAACAGGAACACTGAATGGTATGAACATGGTAAATGTGAATTGTAAAACACCTATTTGTACTTTTTAAAATTTATTGAATTAGAAAGAAAATATGTTCTATAGTTATTTATTTATGATATATTTACTGTAGTTGCCTTATTTATGCTTATACAACATGATCAGTTATCTCCCTTCACCTTGCAATTACATGTGCAGTGATTTGAGTGTGGTTGGTACATTGAGATAAAATGCGCACTTCTCCATGTTCTCAGAGTAAAGTGTCATGTCACTATTTTTTGGATTATAAGAAAAGTTATTTCACTGCTTGGTCAATTGGTAATTGACAGTATAATAATAGTCAGTATGTGCCTTAATGTTTATATTTACCAATGTACGATGAACATTTGCTGCATTCAGCCCTTTCATTAGCGACTGAATTTCAACATTGGCGCCCTTATTTTGGTCGCCGATTTGGCTCCCTAATTATTGTTATCTTTACTGTAGAATTAACTGATGTGTAGCTGGATGTTATTCTCAAGACCTTGAGAAAACAATGTCTGCAATATGACAAACTATGCTGTTGTTATTATTTTTTCAAATATTTGTCGTAGTATTGCTTGCAGTTTTTCAAATAAAGTCCAGTTTCGTCCAGTTTTGCATCCAATGAAAAGTGTTGGTGGAGTAGGCTTGGTACATACTGCATAGAATGTGCTATTGCATTGTTTTTATATAGTGGTGGTGTTAAGAGTATTGACTTTGCTGTTTGACAGTGACATCTCACGATGTTTTCTATATTTCGTCAAAAACTTCCAAGAAGTGAAAATGATGAGAGCGGGAGGGAACGTATCAAATCATCATCTGGGGATAATGTGAGGGATGATAGGCCCTAATGAAAAAGGATCTGTGGTTCTGATTATGCGACCGACCCTATAAAATGCTTCCAGTTGTAATGTTTTTTCACTATTAGTAAACCTGATTGACATTTGCTCCGCAGTTTCCCGATTAAAATGAAACTTATATAACCATGATAACTGCACTTTTCATCTGTGTCAATGTACATCTGATAGCTGCTTGTAGCAGTGCGAGGATTCAGTTATGTGAAATTATTATGCTGTGTGCATTGCATCATGCATGTCAAGTTTACAAACTTCTGACATGCGTAGATCGTTCCGCCATACTTGACGACATCATTCCAAAGTGCTTTTCCATCTTTGCTCAGCCAAAAAATGACCGTACTACCAAGTGGGTTGAAAACAGTAGTAGCAGTAACTTTGAAACAAGTAAGTGATGGTGGACTCGATTCTGAGCCGATGGGCACAAATGAAGACTCAGAGAAATCGTCAATGGCAGCAAAAATCGAAGTTAAATCAAAATCTGTCATTGTGGAAAGGAAAAAAGGAATGGCTAACATGATGAATAAAGTATGCGATACTAAAATACAATTCCGAGTCTGATACTATGATTTGCACATATTGTTCATGTTGTTGTGCACAACCTGCATGTTCCGACAAGACAGACTTCGTTGTTGATAGTTCAAATTTGAAAGAGGAAAATCTGGCTGTACATTATATAAGTATGAAACACTTGCTTTTTATTTTCAGAGATATTTGTCAAGACATTTCAAAAGATTTAGAAAATGCTTTTAAAACATGTAATTTATTTCAAGATAAGAGAGAAGCTGGCAACCACAGTAATGTATGGTCAGTGGACCTTGCCCATCTCAGTGCGATGAACACTAGTGTCGCTAAGCTAGTAAACTGGACCAGAGACCGAAATTTCCAAATATGTAATATGTAACTAATCTTAGCCTGAAATATTTATTTTTAAACAGTTGCTTTGGCTCCTACGAAAACCATTTTGGCTCTTGTGTTTTTTTCATGCAGGAGCCAGATGGCTCCTTAGGTAAAACTTAACCAAGAGATGTTCTATGTTCTCTGTTGATATTTTGTGAATCTATGGACAGTGTTAATTATCGATCAATACATTCCAGGTAGGCTCATATCAGTACTATTTATGTTTATTTGCATATATCTATATTATATACACACACATTTGCATTTGTAAGCTTTCACAAAGTTGGTGTGATCACACTGTGATGTTATTCAGTGTTCTAAGTTTAGGGGTTCCTGAGATTTTCTACTATGGCATTGAAATCCAGGGGTGCCCCAGGGATGCAGATTGTCATAACCTCACTACACTGTCAGTTTCTCTGATTAAAAAGTACCATGACTAAGTACAATTTTAAACGTTTAAAGGGGTGTCCCTATGTGTTTACACTCTTGAGGCTAGTAAATGTTTCAAAAGGGTTCAATATTCATTCCTATACT